TGCTTGCTCTATCAAATTATAAAGGTTATTTTTTGGAAAGAGTTTAGAATTTCATTTCAGACAAACTTAATTGGTAAAAATACAGGGTGGTGCACAGATGTATATATACTCCTCACAAAAAATTAAGCAACAAGTATTTTCAGTGTAATGACTTTATCAATCTAGATAGTGATTTTTGCCAGCATGTTACTGAAAGGGAAATATTCAAAGAATACATAACCTTTAGTGACTGTCATTTTGACTTATCTGATAACATCGACAACATCACCCGAACACAACCACCCTCAGAAACAACATGCAAAATGTGTGGCAGGAATGTTCTCCACATTTCACACATGCTGCCTGATTGGTTAAAACCTACCTGTAATCATTCCCCTGGTACAACAAGCGGGTCCTAACTTCATTTTTATGGATGAGTTGTTAATCATGTTGTTTAGATCAACAACATCACACATATGGACTGGCCTGCAAGGTCACCTGATCTTAATCCCACTGAACATGCTTAAGACTTTTTTGGAAGTCGTGTTTACACTCTCCATGTTCACCCCCAGACTCTGGATGACCTTGAACAGGCGTTACAGAGAGAATGGCAGAACATTCCACAACAGCAACTTTAAAGGATCATTTGGTCAATGGAAAGACGTGTAGAAGCTTGCATTTGTGCTCATGGTGGTCATACGCGTTACTGAACACTGCTTCACTGTCCAAAACTGACTTGAACTTGAATGTTAACATTTCGCTCCATCAATGCAGAACATTTTGTACGACTGTTTCACAGGTACATGATTTTGATAATTTGTAAGTCTATTATTGATCAATACCCTTTATTTTGTTAATCGTGTGTACATATGTTTCACCTCTCTATTGCATCATTCCATGATTTGCAACTTCAATAAATGAAAATGTAATGAGACTACATATTGTGTTGCTTAACTTTTTGTGAGTAGGATACAAATATGTACAATACAGATATATAGACACTTCCCTCCACTGCGAAATGATGTCCTCATCATTTAATCCTACCAGTCACAATATCCAAGATTGCGTCAGATACTCGATGTGACTGATCGGAAAAACTTGCTGAATCGAAGAGAGTGTTGAGATAATTGGCTCTTGTTAGCCAGTCCGTCTATCAAACTCATGAAAAGTAAGTTGTGGTTAATAGAGTCAAATGCCTTGGAAAAGTCAATAAAAAGGCAATAGAACCTTCCATTTTTCTTTGACAGATATTTAGTGGCCATAGCTTGAAGGGTGAAGATATGGTCTGTTGTTGAATAATCCTGTCTGAATCCAGCTTGTGCCTCTGCAATTGTATCATTATTGTCACATCATTGTTTCAGTCTATTATCAGCTATTGAGGCTAGAATCTTGCATAAGGAGTTGATCAATGAAATTCCTCTATAGTTATTTGGTTCTGTTTTAAGGGCATATGATGCTTTCCCCCCAACATTTTGCAAAAACTAAACTATCATACAATTTGTTAAAGAGTTTAGTTAATATAGGTGATATGTAATTTTTAGTAGCTTTAAAGATGTCTGCGACTAATCCATCCGGTCCTGGTGATTTATTATTTTTAATATTTTTCAAGCTTAGAAATACCTCCTCTTCCAAAAAAGGTTCATTTAATACAGCTAAATGTTCATCCTCTATATCAGTGTCAGTATCCGCTTTGCTCCACAAATCTTCAATATTATCATCAAAGGAAACACTGTTTAAAAGTTCATTAAAATGCTTAAACCATTGATCTACAGATATGCCCGGAGTAGCTGAAAGATTCATCTTACATGATTTTAACACTTTCCAAAATTGTTTTGGATCATTACTTGATTCACTGAGTCTATTTCTTTGACTTTGAAAATAATATTCTTTCTTTAAGTGAAATGTGAGTTTAAAATGCCTTTTGTAACATATGTAGGTATCAATACTACCTCCGACAGCCCTATGAGATCTCAGGGCTGAGTATTGCTTGTGCTTCATCTCCTCCAACTCATTATCCTACCAAGGTGGCTGATGTATATTCATTGAACCAGCACCTGGGTTTCTAGAAGTTTTCTTGAACTGATCTGCTGCTCTTTTATAAAGATATGTTATAGATTCCACACTCTGTTCAACATTTTCCTCTATCTGCTTCAAAATAGCATCACAATGTTCTAAAAATAACTCCTGGAAATGAAGCATAAATTTATTACTAGTATCCTGAGACCAGTAATATTTGGTCCAACTCTCCTGGTCCATTTGCTCTGTGTCATTTGACTGATTATCTGATGGAACTGGTTGATCTGGCACCAGAGGAAAGACAACAGCACAATGTAAGGGGAAATGATTGGATTCATCCCTCTCAAGCACATTAAAAGAGCTAAAGTGTGGAAATAAGTCAGTGCTTGAAATGAAATAGTCAACCACACTGGCACCGTTATGGGTTATGCAAGTGAAGTTACCTAACTTATCATTAAATAGTCTCCCATTTAGTGCATGGAGACCATGGGTACAACATAAATCTGCAAGTGAAACACCATATTTGTTATACCTTGTGTTATCCTTTGTATTTCTTGGGATGTTAAAAGTATCAGATGGGTAATCCTCACTGTTATCATGAATATATTGCAACTTGTCACTGGGAATAAAATCTAATAAGTTACCCATTCTTGCATTAAAATCCCCTCCCACTAATATATAGTGTTGGCTATATTTTTGGCTAATTGTCACAATATACTCTTCCAAACGTTGGATTCCATCCATGTCCTTATCAGCATATATGGGGGAAGTTTCAGGTGAGATATAAACAAACATCATCACAGTGTCTTTATCAAGTCCAAGCTTAGATGTTTCAAACAGTATGACCACACAATCCTCAAAATGAGCAAATGTTCTTCTAATATAGTCTACAGGTTCTTTTTTAATGAACACAGAGACACTACCACTGTATCGACACATTAACTTTTGCTCAGGTCTACAATAATGGTATGAACGAAAAACCGGACAGTAATGTCTCAAAATCCTTCGGGTCTCTAGCAAAGGTCTCACAGAGTCCAATTATGTCATATCTTGAGCAGAATTATTTAAAGTCACTAAACGTGGAACTCACATGTTTGTATAATCCTTCGATATTCCAACTAAGGATACTACACGAGCCATGGCCTAATCCTCATTTGTCTCGGTAAGTTGTTGATCGCGTGATTCTACTTGGAGTGCTCTCCCCTTCACTTCCGTTGTCAGGTGTAAACAAAGAGGCGTGGCTTTCTGTTTGACTGTGTGCTCCATTTGAATTATGAGATCGTTGGTTTCCACCTGAGGTACACACATTCTTATTATTTTCTCTGTCATGAAATGAACACTTTCCCATCGACGAGTAACTTATCATGTCAGATCTTTGGTTTCAATCCCGCTTTGAGAGCATCTGAACACAGTGGTGCAAGCAATCGGCGAGCTTCTCGTACACACTGTGTGAGATCCTCTGTGACACGTCTCGGGGTTTCCCGGTCTCATAGTTTCCTCCATGATGTAGACAGAATATTATTCTTGTCGCTTGTGAGAACAAAGTTGACGATGATCGGTGGATTTTGTTTTCCATTCCGTAGGCGATGGGCTCTTGTGATAAGAATATCGTCCGCTTCAGCTATATCTAGATTGTCTCTGATAAAAGCCCTGACTTTATTTTCAGATTTGTCCCAAGTCTCGCCCTTCTCTTCTTCAATGCCGTGGAATAGCAAGTTATTTCTCCTTGAACGGGACTCATAATCATCAAGTCTATCATTTAGCTGCTTTATCTGGTCACACATGAGTTTATTATCAGAACGGAGCTGGGTAATTTCTTCCCTCTGCTCGCTTGCCTGTGCCGCCATTTTGTCAACTTTCGTATCCCATGTTGCTACATGATCATTAATAGTCTTAAGGTCAGATTTCAAGTCCATTATAGCAATCATTAAATCATCGTTAGTGTATTTGGCCTTACTAATACCTACAGCACCTGTATCTTCTAACGATAGCGTTGACTGCCTGTTAGACTTGGGGCCGGGGTTAGGCTCCACATCACCACACTCGGTAAACAACAAAGACATGATCAAAACTAGTCTCAAAGTCATCGAAACATACTTTCTTCCAATTGATATGCCATGCACAATCGATCTTGGCTTGTTGGGTTGACAGAAGGTCGCTATTTTCATTCGGTATTGTTCTAAACTGATACTCATCTCGGGAGCTTCGTCGACACGTGTACACTCTCACAATACCCAGCATGCTCCCAATATACAGTGTTATATGTCATGACTTCAGTTGTCTGCATGCTTTCTCTTGCCCACTGTCACCAATTTTGTCTTATATAGTATATACTGCAACTATAGGACGACAGTCTGGAGCAGACAATTTAGTAGTTGACATTATGAGTGTCAGTCTATGCAGTTTGGATATTACTCCAAGGCCAAATGTTGACATAGCATCAAAATCAGGTAATATGATACACCCGACCCACACTGGATATCTTGACCAAGTTGATAAACAGTCTCTTTGTTGTTTCCTCCTCCTGATTTTACCCTAAGGAAATATGCATTTGCTCTCTTGACGTCAATACAGCAATATTTCAGTCACATCATTTATATCAAAAGTTTCTAATGTAACTCTTTTTGATCATGGTTTGTACCCTGCAGGCACTTCTTGCATTTGGCCTAGGACAGTCAGTGAGTCCCACCAGTTACCTGTTATCCACAGTCACCTCATATGACAACCATTGGTTGCTGAAGGCTGGTTGTTGCCTGGACCTTCATGATGGCACCTGAGACTTTAGAAGCTTTTATGAGATGGCACCATTGGACAGTTCTTGCAAATTCCTCGAGTTTTTGTAACAGAAGTGAAAACATCTACCTTTACTTTTCATTATGACATTCCATCAAACAATGATTGACCTCTCTCCTTATCCGCTATGCTTTCTTTACTTTACTCTATGCTTTCATTCCAACGTAGCAGCTATGGAGATGCTGATAAACCAATCTTTTTCATGTCCACAGCATACAGAGGTGATACATGAGTTTGAGATCTGCATTGAACGACCTAAGCCAAGTGCTATTGATGAGGTGATAGACCTGCTGAAGAAGATTCTCAATTACTGCATTTGTGTTATGACATGTGGTTGTGTGGCCTCATACAGATCTTCAAGTGGAATAAATGGTGAAGAATATGGAACACTGCTGTTAGACGATGAAAGAGTAGCTGTTGAAAATCTGCTTGCATATTTGGAAACAGGTATGTAATGAACATCTGGAGGTAGACTATCATGATTGACACAACAAATCCTCATAGCCTGTTAATGGCGTTTTCTTCCATTCTCAGAGCATTCTGTCTTATCTTTGACAACTAGAAATGGATGTGTTTTTATTTTGAACGGAACATGTATCCCATAGTCTGATGGATGTTATATAAAGATCACAGAACAATTCAAAACAGCTTTAGAATAATTTCTTAGTAGCTTACAGTTCCATGAATGTGGACATGCCAGGTAAGATAGTCGTCTAATTTGCTGACTTGTGGGTAGGCCATGCAGTGTTCATATAATACTGGGACAAATGAAGAACTGATTTCCTCATTCAGCCAAATTGAATAGACTTGAAGTTTGTGTTTCAGACAACTGTAGTGATCCAGTGGTGTCACCTCAGCATCTACGGGCCCTCTCTATTCTGACATATTCTGACAATGATGATTTACAGCGATCAGCAGCTCTTTGTTTTGCAGAGTTCAGTGAAAAGAGTAAGTTGTTTTCATTATCAGTTACAGTTAGAACACAACTGCCTTGTGTTGGTGGAAAAAGGAAGAAGGGGGGAAAGATAAGGCTGAGGAGTAGTTTTTTAACTAAAATATATCTAAATGAAGGAAATACCAGAAAGAAACAGAAAAATGAGGGGTACATTCAAGAGAAACAGTACAGTAGTTGTTGTATAAGACAAAATTGGTGACAGCAGGCAAGAGAAAGCATGCAGATAACTGAAGTCATGACATATAACACTGAATACCCTTTCATCGCGTGCCTTGGTGGCCTAGGAGGTTACAGTGCTAAACATGATTTTAAAGGTCACATGCAACGCAAAACTCAACTTTGTAGATTCTGATACCTTTCGGTATGGACTTACAGTAACAAATTATCAAAAATGCAAATTCAACTTATAAAGTTGAAAAATAACGTGATGAAACACACACACACACCCCCACCCCCACCCCCACCCCTCACCTCGCCCAAAATCAGAGTTCAAGCGATTCACTAATTTCACCCCAGTGCTGGGGTGAAAAGTGGTTTCAACAGCTGTGCTGCGCTGCGCCCATAACGCATGCGCAGTGATTAGGTTCGGACAGCTTGAACCAGGAAGGCGACTGGTAAAAACACAGCAAGTGTTGTGTGCAAAGATCATCGCTGTGGTCGAAGTTGGAGAACAAAAGATGTTTCTTGTGATTACAAGCATCTTTGGTCTGCAGTAATTAAAAAAATACACTGGTCCCATACTTTTTGTTATATGTTTTCACATCTTGCCTTTTGGGGGTTGGCAGATTTGCAAACCAATTTTTCAAGAAAGTGTGGCATTAGAAATACTAATTTCTTTGTTAAAAATTGCTCAGCTTGAAAACTGAAATGTTTTAATACATGTCTGTGGAAACATAGAAAAATATGTTGATTGTGATAAGCAGTCTCTGTCACAGACAAAACTCAGTGTCTGTTTTATTGATACCTATGTGTCTGCCTGCCTGCTAATGACAATTTGCAATACACAACTTCGATCATTGACCACATGCAATTTGAACTTGAAACGTATCAGGCTATACACCATAAACAAAATACATTCATTTATGGCTCGTGCAGCTGAGTTCTGTCTCTGTCACATTATGTAATTACACAGACAGGCAGGTGTGATACTTGTACACATGACATTTTATTATGTCTGTGGGTTGTAAACAAACTGCATACATTTTTCTCGGATGACTGGATCGGACGGAAACCGGTGCAAACTCAGATTGTTAGTTTCAAGTCCTGCTTTGTACTTGGATGAACGACAGTTTCCAGTCATGCAGTAGTTCACCATCTCAGTATTTGTTGATTGGATCAAACGCAAATGCAGAAAAAATGAGCATGTATTTACAAAACCCAACATCTCTTTCTCTCTCTATATATATACACACACACACAATGAGTCCTCAGGGTATGGCAAAAGAACCAGCCAATGAAAGGCTTCGTTACACTTGAGTGCACACCCGCTCTGACTGGGTGCGGTCTCCCGGGTGCTTTGTTTCGAGGGAAGTACACCCAAGTATAAATGATTGCACTTTTGATTTGCGATTTTACGCGTATAATTTTGTTTATTTGGTTTTTCATAATCAGCAATGTATATTATATGTCATGAATATGTCATGTCATTGATCTCTGTCACTGCTCATGAATATTGTGTCCTTTTCGTTACTCAAGTCTCAATTCACGCTTTTCAGCTGTCACTGATAAGACTTGTCAGAGGCAGGGCCAAGGTGGCCAGACTTCGGTTTAGGGACACATGCATGACTCTCACCATCCCCATGAGTGCAAAGACTCACAAGACACCTCGATTTTCTACATTGGTGACGATTTCACAGATCCCTAGTTTGCCACCGGTGGTTGTTTTCAGTGCACCGCTTGGATCGGGTGTTACACTTCCCTCTGCTACAGTGTGTGCGCTTAGTCAGAGTGTTCACTCTCATGCGGCGAGTTCAGTCAGTTTGGCGCTTTCTACCACAGGGATCAGTTCGGTGCTTTCAACCTTTGCGCCGCTTTCGTCCAATTCGGCGCTTTGTCCCAATGTTGTGCTCTCATACCCTCCTGTGGTGGCTCCAGGCATGCTGGTAGTATCCAGTGCGGCGCTTTCAACACCTTTCCCGTACATCGCTTCACCTGCCTATCGAGCGCTGTGTACTTCCAGTGTACCGCTTGCTAAAAGAGCGACGCTTGCCTTCCATTCACCACTTACTTCTAATGCGCCACTTGCTTCCAGTGCTCCACTTGCTTCCAGTGCTCCGCTTGCTTCCAGTGCTCCGCTTACTTCCAATTCGCCCCTTACTTGCAATGCGCCGCTTGCTTCCAATGTGCCCCTCTCACATGGATCAACATTACCACCTATGCCTGGTTATTCTGTTACATCGTCAGTATCACATAACCTCCCTGTGTGTCGCTTCAAGCTCCTTTGACTCATACAGCAGCGGGTGTGGGTTCGGCGCTTCCTGCCAGAGCGCCACTTCCTATGACTGCGGGGCTCTCCACTAGTGAACTACCTTCTGTTGGATCTGGTCAACTGCCCAGTGTGCTGCTTTCTACCAATGCGGCGCTTACTTTCTATGTGCCGCTTACAACTACACATTTGTCTCAGCCAACGGGATAAATTGGCGCTTCATGATGAACAGTTACGTCATCCTCCTATGTCAGACACGAGATCTATTATGCCCCCAACGAAGTAGTTCGCCATCGGATCTTTTGACTTGCTTTGATATGAAACCGGGTGACTTTGGCTCCATTACATTTCCTTCTCGTCCCTGTATTACCCAGCTTGCGGCTTCCATAGATGAGTCGTTTGACAATCTTCAGAAAGTCAAGGATGGTTTTCTGGCCCTCGTTTTAACTTGGCGTCTTCTCATGTCCATGGGTTCTCAACATTGATTGCATCCCCGCCGGTGGATGATGACATTGCTTTATTGGGGACGAAACAGAGAGTCTATTCTCCTTTTTTGGTGGAAGACCGAGAATTGTCTCATTTGGATGGTGCCATTCGCATGGTGTTAACAGCGATGGAAGCGGTGGCCATGTCTGTATCTCATGCAGTCTCTCCTCAACAAGCTTATATTTGGGCCTCGATGGTTTTATTGCAAGGACAATTTCAAACTATTCTGGATCAGCTGGCTCACTTCTTTTCTTACCTCATGGCTGTGCGGTGTAGGGGTCCTCTTCACCTGTCCTCCTGGGAGGATAGGTTCCACACGGATCTCTTCCACCAACCCTGGTCTGGCAGGTCGCTGTCAACGGTGCAATACATGATATATCAACTACGGTTGGACAGGACGCTCATCTTCAAGTCTCTGCGGAGCTGTTAAAATTCCATTGTTTACAAGTTGTATGTGCCTAACAACCCAGACCTGCGATCAGGGCCTTCCAGTTTCTTTTGTGGGAGAGGCTCGTCCAGGGGGCGTTCCGGTCGTCAGCGCCGATCCATCACTGCTTCTCGACCAGCTCCTGGATCCGAGCAGTCCTCCGCGACAAGAGCCGACAAACGGTGACTTGCAGAGATTACAGCACAACTGGGTCCTTCTGCCTCCAGTTGTGCCTGTCAAGGATTCCCCAGTAGGCAGAAGACTTGGGATTTATGCCCGCAATTGGACCTTCTTGGACGACCCTTACGATCTTTCCATTCTGTCCAAGGGATTTCAACTTCCTGTAATCGGCAACCCGCCTCTTACTCTGCATCCGGACCACAGGACGTATCCCACTTATCAGAGGGCTGTCCTACGGTCCACCATAGAGACTCTAGTTCACAAACTTGCGATCGAATCCCTGGCTCCGGCTCCCGCCAACCCGAGGTTCTACTCACCAATCTTTGTGGTCCCGAAGAAAGACTCCGACAAGTTGAGACTCATTTTCAACGTAAAACTCTTCAACCAGATGTACCTACAACCACCTCCTCATTTTCAAATGGTGTCGGTGGCGCTCCTCAGGACAATCCTCAAACCAGAGGACTACATGATCAGTCTCAACCTTCAGGGCACTTACCTTCATATTCCGATCTTCCCCGACCATTGCAAGTTTCTCCGGTTTGTTTTCGAGGGCACCCATTATCAATGACTTGTCCTCCCGTTTAGAATTTCTTCGGCTCCATGGCTGTTTACACGGGTGACGAAACCCATCACCAGCGTTCTGCATCGCAAGGGGATAATCTTTGAAGCATACATAGGTGATTGTATCCGGGCACAGACCGATCATATCCTCCTGCTTCATCACATGCAGTTCATGATGCAGCTACTTCGCCAGAACCGCTTTGTCAAGATCTGGCGGTTAGTTCCCCTTGCAGCATCTCAACCCAGGACTCTTCGTTAATGGCAGGAACTCAGGGGTCAACTCCAACTTCGACCTCTTCAGTTGTTTCTGGCTCCACACATCAGGGTGGGCGATCCGCTTGCGCTGATCTTCTGCCTCTGGCGCTCCATCCCCATCTCCAATGGTGAATGGAAGAATCGAATGGAGTGGAGTTTGTTTAAGGCCGTTCGTTCTTACTCACCACCTGTACGTGGACGCATCTCTACACGGGTGGGGGGGCTCACCTTTCTCGATCAGCAAGTGGCAGGGCTGTGGTCTCTCGCAGACCACGCCTGTCACATCAACATATTGGAGCTCAGGGAGGTGATTCTAGCAATCACTCACTGGCAACACCTTCTACAGTCAACCTACCCGTGAAGATCCGGGGTAGAATAGGTCTTCAGCAACCCATGCTTGCCACAAAAGGCGACTATGCTTGTCGTAAGAGGCGACGAACAGGATTGGGTGATCATGTTTGCTGACTTGGTTGACACATGTCATCGGTTCCCAATTGCACAGATCGATGCTCATGCTGTTGATCACTGGATTGTCTGGTCCAGACTCGATTATTTACAGACCGCCACCATATAGCTGGCATACTGCTGAGTGCGGCGTAAAACTAAACTCACTCACTCACTCTACAGTCAACCACACTAATGGTTTGGTCAGACAATGC